CGCTTGCGTCCACGCCCAGCCCTGCCCTCGCCTGCGATGGATCCGGGAGGGGCCCAGAAGCTGAGCAGCCTTAGGAATTCAGCGTCCCCGCAGGGCTCCAGGAACCAGGGGGCCGCTCTTCCCTCCCTGCCTGCGCGCTGGGCCCGGAGGGCCCCCAAGTGAGCAGTGAACTCCTCACCCCGGCCGAGCTGGCGGAGTTCTTGCTGCATTATGGTGCCCTCCGATGGCTGATTCTGGAACAGCCTCTGTCTCAGCCCTTGTAGCAAGCTTCGGGCGGGAAAAACCCTGGAAGCAAATTTGGGGGCCTCATTTATTCTAAAAGTTCAATCAGGTTTGAAAAATAATGAGAAAAAAAATGTAACAGTAGTAAATGTAGTCTCATCTCTTACTTCTTACTCAAGTTAACATGAATTTTTGACACAGAAATTTTCCCTAATGTGGACTTTCTCAAACTTGTCTAATCACAAGATGCGCTTGGTTGTTAAAAATACACATTTCCATGTTCTACTCCAGAAGTACTTAATCAAAATATCCAAGGGCATGGCCTGGGAATCTGTATTTATTTATTTAATTTTTGTTTTTTTGGTGAGGAAATTTCGCCCTGAGCTAACATCTGTTGCTAATCTTCCCCTTTTTGCTGAGGAAGATTAGCCCTGAACTAACATCTGTGCCAATCTTCCCCTGTCTTGTATGTGAGTCACCACCACAGCATGGCTGACGAGCGGTGTAGGTTGGCGCCAGGGATCCAATCCCGTGAACCTGCACCACCAAAGCAGAGCAGGCCAGAATTAACCACTACGCCAGAAGGCCAGCCCCAGGAATCTGTATTTTAACAGGACCTCCAGGCAATTAGTAGAATCAAGCTAATTGAGGAAACTCAGTTCTGGGCAACCACAGTGCTCTTGAAGTACAAACCACCCTTCAGTGTCACCTTTCTTGAGGAATCCCTTGTCCCCACAAGACCTCAGAGAATTGTCAATGCCCTTGAGAGGGAGTGGAGCACCCAGGAGACATGCTGGCCTGGCATATGGGAGACCTGGCTCAGCCACACTAGCTGAGGGACCCTGGGTCATCACGTAACCTCTCTCTGTCTCTGATTCCTCCTTTAGAAAGTGGAGCCAATGTTCCCTGCATTCGCTGGCTCATTAAATTAATGCGAGCCTCCAAGGAGTTGCTGAATGTTAAAATGTACTTAGGAAAGTATCTGCTCTTGGTGGTGGGCTTGGAGCCAGCTTGTAATGGTTAGTGAGAGCTGACTGGCAAAGTTTTAGGAATTTTTTGAGCCAGTTAATAAACCTTTGGTGTAGCTTGAAATGGGCAACGGTAGAAGTATTTGCACTATGGAAATTGAGAAGTGGTACAAATTAGGGTTTTTTCACCCGGAGAACTGGTTGTTAGTCATTTAGCAGCACGCCACTGAATATATGGGATGGTCAAGCTCTTTTACACCAAAGGACATTATGTAAATGGAAAGCCTGGGCCCAGCTGCAGGTCTGGACAGGAGGAAGTGGGTCATACCTTCCCTCCTCAACCCTCCACAGCTCTTTGGCCATGACAGCTGCAGAGCTCAAGTCTCAGCCTCTCCCCCAAGGAGACACATTTCACTTGAAGCCCCAGCCCACTGCCCCAGAAGAGTCTAGCGTCTGAGGAGAGTGACAGGCCTGGAGGAATATCGGATGCTACTTGCCCTGCTCCTTCATCACCAAGTTAGGGATTCAAGGGAGGATTTGTAATCTAAGTGCATCAAGAGAAGGGAACTAGGTCGGGTCATCACGAGCCTCCCTTGGAGTTGGTGGTGGGATCTTAATTGGACCTTATTAAATAAGGACCTCTATTCCTTCCTGTTGAGAAAGAAGCCACCTCTGTCACACATTATGGCACCAAGGCCACGTTCTGCAGAGTCTGCCTCCATATTAGCCCTCAGAGCTGACTCTCAAGCTGCCCTTTGGGGAATACAAATGTTAACCCATGAACTCTAAGGCCAGATGCCCAAGAGGCAGCTGATTCAGGCAGGCTGGTGCATAAAGGAGGAGCATCAGGGAGCACTGCCCCAACCCCTCCAGCCCAGGGTCTGTCTTTTCCTTCCTCAGCCCCAAGCACTGAGGTGCACAAGAGGAGCTAAGGAGGCTCCTGCTCTGAATCTGGCCTCCAGGTCCCTGGACACTGAGAAGACAAAGAAAAATTGAGTCTATGACCCAGCTATACAGGTTAAATCCCTTGAGGCTGGCTAGGATTAGCGTTGTCCTCTTGTGGGGAAGGAGGCCTTCAGGACCCATGAGGCAATCAATCAACAGCTTCTTACTGCTTGCTTTGTGCAAGGACCTATGGGGAACACCAACGCTATAAGATGATTTGAGCCATCAAGTAACTTAAATCATATGGGGGCTATTTCTCTCCACCATGAGGCAAGTTCAATAATGAGGCAAGACAACTGCATGCAAAAGAGCAACGTGATTGATTGACATGGGAGTGTTATGCATCCAGAGTTAGAGGTCTCTGTAAGATGGAGAGGATGGGGAAGATTGTTGGAAAGCCGATGTGAGATGAAGGGACAGCAAGATTGAGCTCCTCAGGGAAGGAGAAGGGATAATGGATTGAATAATGACACCAGTCTCTGACTGTTGAAGAGCACCCACCCCTGGGCCAGTTTGGCTGGAGTTATGGTAAGAGTCAGGGACCACTGAGACTGTCAGGTTGGCAAGGAAAGTTGGAGTCATGCTGGGGAAGGCTGAATGTTGACAAGGTATTTGTTTTCTGTTGCTGTGTAACAAATTATCACAAATTTAATGGCTTAAACCATACCCTTTTTAATCTCACAGTTTCTGCGATCAGAAATCTGTGCACAGTGCAGGTAGGATCTCTGCTCAGGGTCTCACAAGGCTGAAACCAAGGTGTAGGCTGGGTTGGGTTCTCAGCCAGAACTTGGTGTCCTCTTCCAGACTCATTCAGGTTGTTGGCAGAATTCAGTTCCTTGCAGTTGTAGGGCTGAGGTCCCCACTTTCTTGGTGGTTGTCAACCAGACACTGTCCTATAGGCCTTGTGCTGTTCCCTGACAAATGACCTTTTCCAAATCATGGCAGCTTGCTCCTTCAAGGCCAGCAAGAAATTTTTTCATATTTTGAATGTCTCTGAATTCAGGAAGAGCCTAGTCCCTTTTAAGGATTTGCCTGATTATGTCAGGCCTATTCAGGACAATCTTCCTTTTGATTAATTCAAAATCAATTGATAGGAGTGATATTACATCCTATTCACAGGTTCAGCCTACATTCAATGGGAAGGGATTCTACAGGGCAGAAATCTTGGGGGTCAGCTTAGAATTCGGCCTGTCTCAGACAGTTTTCAGCCGGGTGGTGAGGGGGTGACGTGATGAGATCTATTTTTGGAACTTGGCAGTAGAGGACCAACCAGGAGACTCTGGCCATCACACAGAGAAGGTAGTAGGAAAGAGATGCGTGGATAAATGTGGAGGACATCACAATGGGCAAATTACGGGACCTGCTGTCCATCCGCCAAAAATGTCCTTCCCCTACCTTACCTCATAGCTGGCTCCCTCTTACCCCACTCATTTCTCTACCCATTCTGTGTTGGTTTTCCTCTTCCTTACCGCATCAATTATCCTCAAACATGTCACCAGCTTACTTCTTTCATGATACTCTTAATTTTATATTAATTATTTTTTTCTTTTGTCTATCCACTCCACTCAACTCCAAGCTCAATACGGAAAAGAACAATGTCCCATTTGCACATCTCTATATTTCCAGAATAGGGCCTGGCATATAGGAGGGGCTCAATAAATATTGAATGAATGCAAGATTCAATGAATGAGTGAGTAAATGATGTGAAAGGGTCAAGAGAAGATCAAAAGGCCTGAATACTGGGTCTGGATGTCTTGAAAAAAAGCAGGAAGTGGGGCCAGATTAAGGGATGTAGGGAGATAGGGAGATCTATTTCAGATAACTTGCGTTTGAGACACCCGTGGAACAATTGTCCAGGTAGGTCCAACAAGCAGCTGGAAATGTGTGTGAGGAGTTGCCACAGAAAAGACAACAATGTCCAACAAGAATAAGGAACTGCGCTTTGACCATGGAAAATCATGTGCTGTAGACTGAATGTTTGTGTCCCCACAATTCATATGTTGAAATCCTAAGCCCAAAGTGATGGTATTGGGTGGCGGGACTTTGGGTGATGATTAGATCATGAGGGTGGAGCCCTCATGAATGAGATTAGTGCCCTTATAAAAGAGACCCCAGAGAGCTCCCTCACTCCTTCCTCCATGTGAGGACACAGTGAGAAGATAGCCTTCTGTGAACCAGGAAGTGGGCCTTCACCAGGCACTGAATCTGCTGGCACCTTGATCTTGGACTTCCCAGCCTTCTGAACCGTGAAAAATAAATGTTTGTTGTTTAAGCCACCAAGTCTATGGTATTTTTGATATAGCAGCCTGAAGAGACTAAGAAAGTATGAAAACTGGATTTTAAAATAAGCCTTCATTGGTATTACTCACCTCTGTCAAAATCTCTGCTACTTGGAAAAGTTGTCACTATGAGGGTTAGAGTTTATTTTAAGATAGGGGTAAACATCCTCTCTGGGCACAGTTTTATCATTATCCGAAAAACTATGGGAGAAAGTAAAGGCACACAGACGAGCACCAGAGTCTTCACGGTTAAGAGTGTGTGAATACAAGGCTCAGATATGCTGGCCCATCAATCAGCGCTGGTAAGGAACTTGCCAGCAATTCAATGCTGCTGTACTGACTTTTTTATTCTTTCTCCCTCTCTCTGCTCAGCTCCCTCCATAAGTTCTTCATCTGTCTAATCTCAACCTTTCTACTATTTTCACTCAAATACCCTTTTCTCTCTAACTTTCTCCAACCAAATTATTTTTCTCCTGCCACATGTGTCAACCTGATTCTTTCTCTAGTAACCTCTTTCAACTTGTCTTTTGAACAGTTCCCCCATCCTTCCGCATCACATCTATCCTCTCTCGCCTTCCTTTTACAGGTACACCGCGGTGGTCATGCCAGTTCACTATCAACATGGCACTGGACAGAGCTCCTGTCGGCGAGTGGCCCTCATGATTACAGCCGTCTGGGTACTGGCCTTTGCTGTGTCTTGCCCTCTCCTCTTTGGCTTCAACACCACAGGTATCAGTGATAGCCCCACTTCCCACTCCCATGTGATTCACAGCACACCTGAGTTGCTGTGCATGGTGCTCAGCCCTGAAATTTCTGACCCTGGTCAGCGCACTTTGTAATCAAATGAGGATGCCAGAGACTGCAAAGCTTTGGCCTTTGTTGATTATAAATAAAACACAAAGAAAAACCCCATCAATTTTTGGCACGGGATTAAAGTTCTGCCCCAATTAGTGAAAAATCTGGTTTATCCCTATTTTGAAAGAAATGTCATTATATTCATTTGAAGAAATATGCCAGATAAAAAACTACACATGTATTAATAATTCATGTGAGGTTTGCTAATGAAAAGATGACAATTCATAAAGGACTTACAATGCAAAAAATCATAGCATAAAAGCCCTCGAGAAGGATATAGGTTTCTAACTTTTTACTCAATAAGAATCATCTGACATTTAGAAATAAGTATGGATTCCCAATTTGTTGGAGGATGTATTTCTTATATTTTAATATACAGAAATTCTGGCCATGATGGTTGGCACATGGTACATCTTCTTTTGGATGGGTGGATGGATGGATGGATGGGTGGATGGATGGATGGATGGACAATGTGTATATCTGAAATGTTTGGGATATTAGACATAAGATGCTGATCTAAATTTATACCTCATATGGGTCAGGGCCTTCTGTGTCTGTTCCACATCCATCTTTCAGCCTCAGGAAATTCATGTGTTGAATGAAAACGATTAGCACACATAGTAAAATTATGAGTATTGACAATAAACACTAAGTGTTTGCTAAAAGAGAACTGATGGCCTCATCCTCTAGTGTTCATCTGGATTGGTTCATTCAATTCCTACTATGTTGCAGGTTCGTGAATTTCTGGTATATATGTACAAGGCACATGACGGTGTGTTTATGTGTATACAGACATTATATGTAACATATTATATATAAATACAGGCAAATCCTAACCTATAAATAGTCTTCAAAGAGTCATTTTCTGGACAATGGTTTAGAAGTCAAAACTTCCTAAATTTAGGAAGACAGAGGCTCTGAGGTCAGAAAAACCTAGATTCGAATTCTGGTACGACTACTTACCAGCTGTATCTCCTTGAACACGTTACTTAACTTTTCTGAATTAAGTTTCCTCATTGATAAATTTGGGATAATAATACAGTGGAGCATATACCTGAGCAAATTCAAATATATAGACCCAGGCTATACATTTAGTTAGGAAGTTTTCAATATTTACTTTTATATATGACCCCTTGCAAATGAGCCCAGCAACTTCATCTCTAAAGTCACCTGTTGCATTTGAATTCTTTATCATATATGACCTGTTACTGTACGTACCATACGTGTTTGCTTATTGCTGTTCAGAGCTTTAATAAAACCATGTATATCTTTATATGTGATTCAAGGGACTTTTCAAAGCAAATTTCAACTCTATATAATTTTCACTTTACTCACTGACTTTAGAATCTAACCCTACAAATGATATAACTCCGCTCTCCCTCCTTCATAGAGCTTTTTTACAATTAAGTGAGGACTAAATTGGGATAGCGTACGTTGACATACCAAGCACACACCATCTGCTCAGGGTCAGGCTGGTTTCTCTGCCGCATTAAAGGTTAAGTAGCCAACTTATCCAACAAATATTTGCCTGGTTAACTCAGGCTTTTCCTAAAATATGATGTTGTTATCATCTTTGCATTACTCTTTACCATTAGTTATTTTAACTGAATGACATTTTATACACACAAACACACACACTGACATACACCTACACGCCAAAGGAACTTTCCCTAACATGGCTATAGAGGCTGACTCTGGCACTAAAATACCATCTTTGATGAGTGTTAAATGTGCTTTTGTGGTTAGTCTGATAACTAAGCCACCTTCTATATCCTAGTTTCTATACAAAAAGGCACTCTAAGTCAGAATTTGTAGCATGGGGCGCTACCACTGCTAGGCCAAGGCGCTGCTTACCCCCAGGCCAGCAGCAAACCCCCACTAACGTTTGCTAGGCTGAGTGGTTCCTCTTACTCATTCTTGGAGGCTGGTGGGGGCCGTCATACTCACTCTCACGGACACAGACGGGCACACACCCTAGTAACAGTTAAAACAGTCTCCAAATCTGACATGAGACAGAGTCCCCAGCTAATGTCAACATCTAAAGTCAAGAAGAATGATGAGCTAATTGCAGTCTTGTTGCCACCCATGAGATCATTAATATTCCAGAAACAAAACTCAGATAAATCTTTCCGAAAGGATTTTCAAATATAGAATTGAGAAGGCAAAAAATGCCCATGACTTAGCATGTACATGCTCACTTCTCTCTCATCTTTCTCAGTCTCTCTCTTGCTTTCAACTTTGTTAATAAGACTAGAGTAAGCTCTCCACTTATTCATATATTGTGTCCAAGTGTCAGGTCCATTGTAAGAACCCAATAGATACGACCTAGTGTTATAGTTATTATTATTAGGGATTAGAAAGGTTTCTGCACCTCAAAATTAACTATGCATCTGCTCCAAGGAAAATCTAGACAGTGGTAGCCCTGCTGGTGGACAGAGAGACCAGTCACCTCATCCTGGAGCACGGGTCAGGAAATAGCGAGCAGAACTCAAGGCAGGCAAGCCCAGCCGTCCTTCTCTGCCTCAGTCTGGCCTTCACAGTACAGCTTCATTATCTTGATAGATGTGGGTTCCTCCAACATCTCTTCCATCTGTAAGGAAGTTCCCAAGTTCATTCAAAGGCCCAATATAAATGACTTCTCTCAGCCATTTTTTCCTACTTCTTCTGTGGAAAGCAGAGGGGAAAAGGGCAGGATACTCCAATAATACCTGATATTGCAAGTGGCTGCACTTTCACTAAATGCCACACAAAAAAGAACTTTCTGGCAGAGCTCTTCTTTTAAAGAAATGGGCTGCCACATGGGATTGTGAATTGTCAGAGAACAAAAGGTAGAGAAGAGTTGAAGTTCAGTTTCTTCCAACTTGGAGTTGCTGTTATTGTCTAGGAAAAGGGCAACATGCGTTTCTGGGTGCTCACATAAGGCAGGAGCTCGAGTCACAGAGAGTTCCAAGGCTGTGGGGCCTGGCTGCCCGGTGTTGCCCCAGTTCCCAGCAGAGGCCCAGCAGTCTAGCCAAATGCCACATCAGCAGCAGCCCCTGACAGCAGTGGACCGTGGAACATTAGTGCTGAAGGAAACCCTGAAGATCCCTGCATGAGCAACCCAACCCTTTCATTTCACAGATAAGAAAAATAACTAGTAGTTAAATTTCTGCTAAATCAGATAGCTATTGTGTTATAAAAAATTCTAGAATGAATAAGCAATAGCTGGTGACAAGGGTTTAAGAAACCTTCAAACGAGGAAGAACTTAAGGTTTAAAAAATCCTATCAGCTGTCTTAATTGTCCTTTGAAACAAGGAAATGGGGGAGAGCTATTTAAATTTTAGCAATAGAACGCCTGACCTGGCTTTCAGGACACTGGAGCTGGCAGGAGTCTGTTTGAGAAGCACAAAATTAAAAGCATAATAAGCTCATCCTAAAATCGGATGCATCAGGATCTCCTGTCTTTGGAAACAAGTTGAGGACAAATCCTTTAATGAGCTTGAAGTTCATGAATCTCTCCAGTCAACTGCTTTTGGCCTTGCTGTTCACATCGCTGCTGGACTCAAGTTCCCAGGCTAGCCCACGATAGCCTCTTAGACCCCTTGGTAGAGCTATTTAGTGTTTTCATCACCCAGCACAGTGCCTTAAACAGAGGAGGTGCTCTGTAAACTTTTGTTAAATGAGTAAGCGGATGTGTCCTCATCATCGTTTCCTTCTAAAATGTTGAGATTAGTCAGAATAAACATCCCCAATCTCGGAGAATAAGGAGTAACTCCCCAGCCTTCCCCATTATCCTCCAGCCTGTGACTGCCTGTGTGCTTATGTAAAAATGTTCATTTGTTCATTCTGCTTGTTTACTCGTCATTTGTCTATTCATTCAATAATTATCATGCTGACGGCACAGTACCATTTTGGGTATACAATCAAGACAAGGTACCTCATCTCCTGGGGAAGCTTCAGCTCCTGGGGGGCCTCACTGCCCTCACCACCTCCTCTGGACTCAGCAGAAAGAAGCTTCTGGAATTGCTGGTGTGTAGTGCTTCACTCTGCCTTGCTAAGAAGACACCCAGGCAGGCCTGGTGGGGGCTGGAGCAGGGGCACTCACTGGCCAGCTGCTTGGAGTGTCACTCTGCCTGCTGACAGGCCTCGCGGGACTGCATGACGTGGGGGATTCTGGGAGAGGCTGCAGAGCCCGACCTCAGGACAGGCGGCAGTTTAGTGGGACAGAGGAGGCGGGAAGGGATGACAGCGCTGGGTCAGTGATCGTGTCTGACGCCCTCGTTGGCCAGCGACCCTGAAAGAGCTGTGTGCTCTCTCTTCACTCTCTCTCTCTCATACATGTGCATTCGATGTTTTTAATGGAAATATAAATACTCGCACATGGTAAAACACAAAGTGTAATGAGATACATACACACATTTTTATGTAGGTCTCCCTTCTGCCTTAGATTGCTAATTCCCCTGTCTCCCTGCCTAGAAGCAAACACTAATATTCTTGAAAGATAATGCTAGAAACAAGCACATACCTACACATGTGCACACATACACGTGTGTGTGTGTGTAAGTGTATGTATCCATTCTTACACAAATAGATGTATACTGTACCCATTTTTGCTCCTGGCTCTTAAAAGTAGTAGTTAATATATAAAATTTAGAGGTCAGCCTCCCAGAACCCAGAGGAGGATAGAGAAGGGTAGAAGGTGTATCTGGAAGGACAAACGGGGACTATCTGACACACGAAGGATGGCAACAAGTCAAGTCACGGGAAAGTAGCCCTGCCACCCCTCTGGCCCCCTTATCACTAGCAAAACACGCTGAGATGCCTCCTCATCCTAGGAGGCATTTAAATCCTGGTCAGATTAAATCCTGGCCACAACAAGGGAACTGATTTCAGGGGAGGGGCTGATCCCTCCAGCGTGGTTCCTTATAGATTCAGATGGCTGTCCCCCATCCCTACGTCCAGCCTCACACCCCCCAGGACACCAGAAGATGCCAATTTGGTGCCCACTGCTCAAAACTTTATGAGCCATTTCCTAAAGGATGCTGACACAGGCTTTGGTGAGTTGACATTAATTTTACCTGAATTTTACCCCCTCCCCAAGAGAATCAGAGAATTTGGGAGTAACTTGTAAAGATTCTGGTGGCAGTGCTGTCACTAAACTGCCTCACCGAGCACTGAGCACAATCTTTTTTTATTGTTTTAATTTTTAGCTGTTGCTCCCTTCCTCCCCCACAAATATTCTTCCCTATAAGTCTTTCACCAAATTTCCAGTCTAAATGACACCTTCCTTTTTAAACTCAAAAAGTTCAGAGGAGGTAAATAATAAATAGTAATAGTAAAGAATAAATAATAGTTACAATTAACTCATTAATTTTCACAACCACTGTATGAGACAATATTTTTATCTTTCTTTTACAGATAGTGAAACTGAGGCTTGGCATAGTTAAGTAACGTGCCCAAGATCACACAGCTAATAAGTGGCAGATCTGGGTCTCATAACTCAAGCTTCCTGGCCTCTGCCTACCTCAGAAGACCAAGAAGCAGAATGAGGGGTCCATGCGGCCACTGCCCTCTCCCCACCAGTTCACACCTGAGGCTGGGTCTTCTGAGCCCCAATTTTCAGTTGGAGAATCCCCAATCCTTTATGAAGATTGGCCAAGTGTGCCAACAGTTTTGTTGTTAATGCTGGACAGAGTGCAAATGTGCCATGTTCCAATAGTAGAGGGAGGTGGAGAGTCAAAAATCACAGAAAGAACATTGGTTTGGATCAGATTGACTGAATGAAGGAAAGCATCCAGGCTCTGCCCCTTTCAGGCTGTGCGATGTTGGACCACTCACTGAACCTCTCTGAGCCTTAGTCTGCTCATCTGAGAATAGAGACAGTAATGGCACCTGTCTCACACAGTATTGCCTTAATAATTAGGTTAGATGATGTGTATAAAGCCCTTGGCACAACACCTGGAAAATACTAGTTTTCTTCCCTTTTCTCTTCCAAGATGGGGCAAGTTTTAGGCCCTATCCTGGGCATTGGAGGAAACTCAATATCTGCTAGTGAGGAAGGCAAGGCTACAGAGCCCTCCTAAAGAGGAGTGGCAGGAGCATTTCAGGACACGAAGCAGGGACAAGGACACTCCTCAATTCACGTTGTCTATGGTGACAATATCCTTACTGGCCCTCTTCCCATCTCACCCTGACCAGTGCTAGGATTCCCTGAAAGATCAAATGCCTGTCTCATACTCAGCCACCACCTGCCCCGTATCCTGGATTCAAAATTGGAGACCTGGCGTTCTCAGCAAAGAAGCCTTCCTCCATCCCTTGCATTCAACAATCCTTTAATGCCTCCACACAAGCCGGCCCTTTTCTGGGGCTGCGTCCCTCCCGGGAGCCTCTGCCCTGTTGCTCTGTGACACTCTCCCCAGCCTCCCAGGCCGCGTTCCTCTGTGACACTTAGCACAGCATATGGAAGGGATCATCTGTCTGTCTAGACTGTGAGCTCCTTCAAGGGCGGACAAGGTGTCTTAGGCATCCTTGCAGCCCCAGTGTCGAGCAGCGTCTGGCATGTAATCTTTGGTCAATTTTCTTCTTACGTGAGCTGTGAGTGACGCGAAGAGGAATTAGACCTCCTACCCTCAGGGAGCTGACAACATCAGTGTCTGAGACTGTGCCCCCCACCCTCGCAACTTAACACTCAGGCCGTGTGTGCTAACCACACAAAAGAGGCAAAAGTTAAGGGCTGTGGGGCACAGAGGAAGTCAGAGCTGCTTCTGACTAAGCAACTCAAGGAATCCTCCCCGGATGAGGCAGCATGTGAACTGGGACGTGATGAGGGGGTAGGTGGGAACAGCACCCCCTGATTCTCAAAGCTCCATGTGGATTAGACGGTAGAGATAGCACATGTGATATGGGTCCATATTGTATGCTCCCCTTTGAGGTCTCACACTTGGCAAACTGCTCTGCTTTCTCCCTTCTATGGCTCACAGGGGACCCCAGCGTCTGCTCCATCTCCAACCCTGATTTTGTCATCTACTCTTCAGTAGTGTCCTTCTACCTGCCCTTTGGAGTCACTGTCCTCGTCTACGCCAGGATCTATGTGGTGTTGAGACAGAGGAGACGGAAACGGATCCTGACTCGACAGAACAGCCAGTGCATCAGTGTCAGACCTGGCTTCCCCCAACAAGTAAGCACCCTGGAGGGGCAGAGGGAAGACAATACCCAACCCTGAGGCCTCCCAGCCTTGTGTCCAGCAGTGTGTGCTGTACCTGTCCTCCTGTACTGCCACTGCCAAATTGATGACACCCATCTGACACCCACCTTTTAATCTGCTGTACTGGCCATGCTGTAGAGGTAGGAAATCCAATCTCAAAGTGCATTGATCGTCTTCCCTAGAGCACACTTCACTTGGCAAGATGATAGGATAGTTTCTGGGCTTGTTCTGCTTCCCTTCAAAGTCTTTCATTGCCCCCCAGTGGCCAGCAGTTCAGACATTGCATAGGGTTATAAGTTTTACTGTAGCAATTGTACCAGAAACTGCTGATAGATTCCCAGGACTGACTTTTTGGCCAGACCACTCATTCTAAGAATCATTGGGGTCCATCGAAACTTCTTTTCCTTACTAAATCTGCCTCTGTGTCAAGGCACTGACCAGATGGTGAAAGGGGATGCTGATGATGCATTTTATTGAGTCTTTCTAGGCTCTGAAAAGGAAAACCATTGCCTCAACACTGATCTTCCAATTGCTTGGGCTGTAAATTCTGCTGATCTCAGTGCCTGGCACATGCTTCAGGATGTCCTTGAAGCATGAGTGGATGAATACCAGTCACTTGCAATCTGCTAGGGAAGGGACAGCAGGAATATTATCCAGCTTCCACCCTCATGGAGCTTAGAATCTAGACAAGCAAATAAAGCACACTTCCACCCAAAGTTAATGAACAGCCCCAAACTGAATGGAATGTTAGAGAAATGTGAGATGAAGACAATAAGCACCTAAATAGTAAGTGCTGTGGAGGTTATGAGAAGAGAGAGCTCAACATGCTCAGGAAAGGGCTTCATAGACAGAATATGTGAACTGAATTTGATCTTGAAGGCAGATCCAATCTGAACGTCTAGATCAACCTATAATGACCTGAGTGAGAGTCAGACTGTTGAAGTCAAAGTCCCAAGATTTGGACAGAGCAAGAATATTGGCACCCACGAAATAGGAAACCAGGACCTGAGGCTGAGAATATGAACATATTGTATTCAAAGCATTGGCATCTATATGGCTCAGCTATGTAGAACTTAACCCACAACTGTTTCTCCTTCAACTCACCTTAGTCTTCCTGTCTAAGGCTGCACCCTATTCGGCAGTTTTCAATAAGGGCCAGATTTCCATCAGATGCCACAGGGAAAATGATAAGTAAGCCATGTCTTTAACTGTAGGAAAAGAATAAGAGAACTTTTCTCAAGATGCTGGCTTGACTTGATTCCACTTCCACCCCAAAATGGGATCAAGCCCCAAACCCACACTGTATCTATAATATATGACAGACCTGAGATCCTGCCTGATTTGAGCTTCAGAATAGAAGTCATCAAACGATATTCAGAAAGCATATGACTATTGGGCTAAATCTCAATGACTTTTGGTGGTGGTGTGAAGATGCCATCCAGAGCCCCCTGTGTTAGAGGGAAAAGGGCATCGATGAAACATATGTGCGCAGAGCCAAAAAAAGCAAAGAAGGAAGCCTAATGTGAGATTTTCAAGTGCCCTATTTGCCATTGAATGTGGAAAAAAACAAGACAATTTCATGGTCACCCTAATCCTTGTCCTTCCAATTCAAGCCAGCTCTGCATCCCTAAGCAAGCCAAGTGCAGAGTGGAGCTTGAAAGTGTTAAATATGAGACCAGTAATCCTCTCCCTGAACTCGACAGCCATGTAAATATTAGGAATAAAACTTCAAAACCCCATTATGATGAAGATCTAAGCCTTGTTTGATCTCCGTATAGTTAATTAACCACTTTTTACACAGTCCTGGTGCCTGTGTTAGAGATTCTTGCTGTAAATGACTTAAAAAATAAATAGATAAGAGGTTTAGAGTTGCCTATCGCAGATCCAAGGTCTGAGGAGGTTCCAAGGCCACAAGGAGGAAAATTGGTGATGACTAAGGAGAAGCTGGAGAACCAAGAGGCTGGAAGTGCCAGGAGTGTGGAGAAATGGGTTCTGTCCTGCCATCTGGGAGTGGAGGGCTCTGCCAGCCAGACCCAAAGGAACCCGGTGTTTCTCATGCCAGTCACAGAGGTAGTGATAAGGGTTTGCAGAGAGAGCTGAAAAATACACCCACCAATATACAATCTTGGAAAAATCACTTTCCTTCTATAGGGGTGAATTTCCACATCTGTAAAATGGAGACAACACGCACTAGACCAGTGTTCTCAAATCTGAGACTTCATAACGACTCTCAAAAAATTTGTCCCCAGTCCCTTAGTTTCAGAAATAATGCATTAGAAGTTAAATATTGTCACTTTTAGAGATCGTTAGATGCCAGCACAATCATAAACATAATCTTGGTTATAAATGGCCATTCAGATAACATATTACATGTTTATATTAATTATTAGAAAACCTCATCAAAATAAAAAACAAAAATTTTAAAAATATATTATACTAGAATCCATATCAATAACTCTGTGGAGTATAGTTTTAAAAATACTATATCACCTTGAAGGCCCCTTGCATTCATGCATTCAACCATATGTCTGAGTGTGCACAGTGTACTAGCACTGTATATCTGGAAGACTGTGGTTCCTTGAACCAAGGAAAGAGTAGTCAGGGTCCTTGGTTGCTGACACTAACTAACTTACATGGAAAAAAGAAATTTACTGAAAGGATATCAAGTAGCTCAGACCCAGTGAGAAGGCTGAAGAATAGCTTCAGAAGATGCCGTTCATGCCTAAGGAAGAATCTGGTTAGAAGACTTAGGACACTGGACATTGACTGTCACCACTGCTAGATGAATTCTGAAGTCTCCCTGCTTCACTGGCTCTAACTCAAGGTCTTGGGGGCAAATCTCCAACTGACTGGGCTTGGTTCAGGTACCAGAGTTCTAGCTGCCCAGCGGGGAAGTCGGGGAGAGTGAATATTTGGCTTTTATGATTTCAGTAATGGGAGTCGAGGGGTCCTGCCTGCTACTCAAGATTGACATAGTGTCTGATTCTTCAAACATGGAAGGAAGTTCAGATGTTAAGCACACACACATCCCCCCAAAATGCCACAAACATCTACATATCTTCAGACTCTACTCTCAGAGTCTACTTATCCCAAACCTATTTTTCCCAATTTCTTTTCTGTTTTACAAATGAGGCTCAGAGACATTTAATTAACCTGCCCAATTATGTCTACTAAGTAGGAAAACTGAGATGAAAATTCTGAGTTTTCTTTTTTTTTCTAACTTTTTATTATGGAAAATTTCAAAAATAAAAAAGTAGGAAGACAAATATAACAAATCCTTCAGTAGCCAATCAGCCAGCTTCAGCAATTATCAACTCGTGGCCAATCTTAATTATTTTTTTCCCCCCCAAAGCCCCAGTAGATAGTTGTATGTCATAGTTGCACAGCCTTCTAGTTGCTGTATGTGGGACGCGGCCTCAGCATGGCCGGAGAAGTGGTGCGTCGGTGCGCGCCCGGGATCCGAACCCGGGCCACCAGCAGCGGAGCGCGCGCACTTAACCGCTAAGCCATGGGGCCGGCCCAACTCATGGCCAATCTTATTTCATCTACACTCCCACCTACATTCACTCCCCCATTGGATTGTTATGATGCAAATCCCAAACATCATATCATTGCAACCAAAAATATTTCTGTAAGACTCTGTAAAAGATACAGACTCTTTTATAAAACACATAACCACAATACATCACACTAAACAAATTAATAATTCCGTAAGATCAGCAAATATCCAATCAATGTTCACATTTTCCCAATTGTCTTGTAAATTTTTCATAGTTAATTTATTTTAACCAAAATTCAAATCAGACCCATGCTTTGCAACTGGTAATAGTTGTTGTTGTTGTTGCACTTTATTTGTTGAAGAAACTGAGTCATTTGTCTTATAGAGTTTCCCACATTCCAGATTTTGCTGCTTATATCCCAGTGGTGTAATTTAACGTGTTCCTCTGTATATCCAGGCCATTTTAACTCTGAAAGGCCAGGCTACAATCCTGTGCTACCATCCTTAAGGAATTATTGTGATTCTCAAATGTTCTATATCTGGTAGGTGCTTTTTCATTGTAAAGTCAGAAGCAGATTTCATTTACCTTAACTTTCCATGGTCCCACCACTCTCAGATGTGCCTTCAGTAGGTTTCACACAATGTAGGTTTCCTCTTGTTTCTTTGCATTCTCTTTCATTTTCAGGAACATTCAGAAGATAAACAATATCCCCAGAAATGTCAGGACCCTCTCTTGTCGCACCTGCAGCCCCTCTCCCCTGGCCAGGCACACATGGAGCTGAAGCGCTACTACAGCATCTGCCAAGATACTGCCTTGGGACGACCAGGCTTCCAAGAAGCGGGAGGAGAGTTGAAAAGGGAGGGGAGGACTCAGAACTCCCTCAGCCCCACCATGGCCCCCAAGCTCAGCTTAGAGGTTCGAAAACTTAGTAATGGCAGGTTGTCGACATCCCTGAAGCTGGGGCCCCTGCAACCTCGGGGAGTGCCCCTTCGGGAGAAGAAGGCAACCCAGATGCTGGTCATTGTGCTCGGTGAGTTTGAGTTGGGTCAAGTTGGGTTGGATTGGATTAAGTTGAGTTAGGTTGAGTTCAGTGGAGCTGGCAGAAGGTACTAAGGTAACCACATTTAACAGAAATTGGAAATACATTGACTGTAATATTTATAAATGTTTATAATACAGTTGAAAAGGGCTTCTGTGTATGTTAACTCTGGTGGAAATTCAAAAGACCTAGACTGAAATTTATGAAATATGAAACTGAACAAGTAACGTAATTGAGCTGTGTTTATCCATTGTGTTTGTTGTCTATCACATGGAGTTATAATGGGTAAATCAGATAATAAATAAGATAATGATTCAATAAAAGTGGCACGTATTGGATATTTAGTAAATGCTTACTTGTTCTAAACTATTAAGTGAAAAAATAGGGATGCAAAAATCTACTGTAATATGGTATGATACCATCTAGCTTATTTTAAATACAGAGGAAAAAAAACCCTGAAAATTAATTCACCTAGATGTCAAAAGTGATTGTCTTGGAGTGGTGGGTGGTGATTTTTCTTCTTTCTACTTTTCTGTATTTATCAAGTTTTTCATAATGTATAAAATCACGGCTAGTTTTATAGTATAAAAATATAAAATTTATTTAAATAAAGAAGAAAAATGGGTAAGTCACAGGCACCATATTGAGTTAGTGAAGGCAATTCTCCTGTTCATTGTCACTGAAAAACCTCACCTTCTCATGTCTTAGGGACTTTATGAGAACCCTTAGACGTAATCTCCTCACCAGTAGGAACTGTGTCAATTGCATCTTTAAGGTCTTCTTCCCTATCAGCGTCTAGGATCATGTCTTGTATGTCTAGACATTAAATAAATATTTGAATTGAATTGAGAAGTAGAAAAGACTACTAAAGTACTACCTAAAGATCAAACTAGAGCAAAGGCCTGAGATGAATGAAAGACGTTAGCATGTAGTTTTCTCATCCAAAAAAAAAAAAAGTGGCTAATCACACCTACTTCACACAGTTGGTAGAAAAATTAAATGGGTATGTAAAACTTCCAGTATAGTGGCTGGCGTAAACAACCACAAGTCATTTTCATGTATAATGAAAGGAGTGAGCAAACCCCTTACCTTTCTTCTCTCTTTCTTTGCAACCTAGGGACCTTCATTGTCTGCTGGCTGCCATTCTTCTTGACCCACATTCTCAATGCCCACTGCCAAGCATGCCACGTGTCCCCGAAGCTTTACAGTGCCACGACATGGCTGGGCTACGTGAACAGCGCCCTCAACCCCGTGATCTATACCACCTTCAATGTTGAGTTCCGCAAAGCCTTTCTCAAGATCCTGTCTTGCTGAAGGAGAAAAAAGAATGCTCTCTGTGCCCACCGTCAGCTGCAAGGCCACTGAGCCACTGGCCAGAGTCTGCTCAGAAAGACCGTGCAATGTCCTCTGGCATGTGGTGGGAACAAGATTCCTGGAGCCAGGACATCCCTGAGTGGCAGGTGTCACCAACTTCATCCTGCAAAACAGAATGTTCTACCTCCCCAGCTAAAATCTGACTTTATCCTCGCAATCTTCAAGTGGTTGAGGGGCCCCTGAGTGATAAGCAATAATTCAGAGAGAAGCTGATAAAACATGACTCTACACACACACAAAATTGTCATCAGAGGCATGATTCATTACTCTGAAGGAAAAATGAACAGATCTCATAATTCTCAACTTGCCAGTGGTCCTTGAAATCTCAGCCAGTAAACCATCTTGCAGAACAGCCAGTCTCTCTTCCTTCAAACCTCTAATTAACTGTCAGGCTAACCTTGTGCTTTTGTGGGCCCACTCTCTTTTGGTCATTCCTTTTATTTATTGTATCTGGAAATGTAATGGCGAGGCCAGTGCTTCCACCTTTCTGTAGAATCTGATCAGCTACATTTGCTGAGGGAAATTCCTCACGCTCAGGGGATGTTGTCCCACATTGGGACCTGGACTTCATTTCAGACCTTGCTACCCTTGTATTTTAGCTCTAGCTAACAAGGCCCTTTCATTCCATTTCCTTACTCTCAGAGTCTCAACTCCAGGGTAATTCAAGATGAGGATGTTAAGTGAAAAGGGAATGTCAATTCCCACTGTAGTATCACTGGTGAACCTTGTGGTTCAGAACATGCCTTAGATATGCCATTAATATCACTATAAGGTTTTTCTACCCAGGCATCTCCATCTCCTGCTTAACAGAGACCTAATACTTCCAGACTCTGAAACCCATTAAGTGTATACAAAGTGGCAGTCACCTCCCAGGTTCTGGATATATGACAATGAGTAAGACAGCTCCTGTCCTCAAGGAGCCCACAACCTGCTCCTGTGTTTGCCCATTTACTTGTTGGGGGGTAGTAGGGACTCACCTAGACTGCCAGAGAGCCTCAGAACTGAAGGCACCAGGCAGGGTAGCTGCCAAATCATCACATGGACAATCTTCATAAAGTCCTAGTGCAGAACCTAAACATCACCACTCCAACAACTGAGATTAAAGGTATAATGGAAATGATGTGTCAGTGTTATTGAAAATTGCATTTAGCAAGAACTTGAATATTCTCACCATTTACCTTTTCACCCACAGAAGCTATTTCTTACTGATTACAGAATCAAGATACAATTTATGGATAATTTATGAAATGTTATCATCCTGAACTTCAATAAATTTACTGTTAAGAGCTGTTATTTCATAGGCATGACAGATAGCCGCTGCAATGCTGTTAAAACTTTAAAATGCACAAGAACTTTACAAGGAGCCCAAGACTTTCCTGGCCCCATCTTCATTCCTCTCACCCTTAATTGTGTAAGAAAATATATACCCCTAGTGAGCCAGTTACCTGTTACTCCTGAATGCTTTCAATGCCAGCATTTTTTAAACGTTATTGTCCATAACAATGTTTATGTTGTAACTTGGTGGGAAAATTCCTTCTGCCCACTAGTTCTTGGACTTTGTGCCATCTAGCTCAGTAGATTGATGGTGCGAGTAGAACTAGCGACTAAGACAATTAAATATCCGAGAAGTAAAAGTACGCAATGCCTAGGCTTTTCCAGACAGCCAGCAAACAGTTGGGACAGTGGGGTAAAAGATCGTAGAATTCCCGGTCAAAATCAGAGTTCTAAAGATGGAATCATAAACAGCATCAGTATTAATAAGTTTGTGAGGAATGTTAGCAAATATTTTGTATCCTTTCTTTACATCAAGTTATTAAAACCTTATGATATCCTTAGAAAGATAAACTCCATTTTGTAGATGAGGAAATTGAGGCAGAGGGAGGTTAAGAAATTTGACCCAGGTCACACCCAGTCAGTAAGTGGCAGAGCTGGGATTCAAATATACTTCTGTCTGATTCCCAAGTCCATGCAATTAACCATGGCACACTGCCTCCCACCAGAGAGGAAAAGAGGTGGGGAGAAAAAATGGGAAGAAAAAGATGGAACAAAGATCCCTGGGAAAGCCTCACCCTACCCCACCCACAGTCCCTAGACTCTCCTAAGAACCCAGCCCAAGGTGTTACTCTCACTCTCGTGCCATGTTCAATTTCTGAAACCGTCAAGTGGGAAATCCATAACCCTTTTTATAGAATCATGGGACAGTGCTTAGAGAGTATTTGGTTCTACCGTCTCCTTTATTTATAGAAAAGGAAACTGAGGCCGAGAACTATTGTCCCACAGTTGGTTAATGACAGGCAAGAACTCAAATCTGCTGAATCCTAGTTCAGTGCTCTTTCTACTCTACCACACTCCCCCAGAACACTGTAAAAACTGCAAACTCTATACAGATATGAGGAGAAAGTCATATTGTCACTTCCACCATTAAACTGAGTGGCACTTTTCCCCTAAGCTGTGTCTATTAGGATGCCAGGTCTCCTTCCCAGAATTTTTTTCTGATCCAGGAAGAGCCTCCCAGGGGAATCCCAATCACATCTCCCAAGCACTTATTTTAGCTTCTTCATCCGGGGATTCTTCATCCATCTCCTCCACCTCTGCAGTTCCCACCATGAACCAACACGTTTAACCACAGGGCTCCTACTTTCAGAGCCAGCACGGCCAAAGATCCCAGGAGAGATTTTGGCCTGAATGAAGCAGAGCAGAGTTCTTGAGGCAAACCAGCTCTGGAGACCAAAGAAGCCCCATAGCTACCCATACTATTTGGGTGAAATGCAAATAGTATGGAAATCCAAATGGTTTACAAACAACATTTGATTCTAGACTTAAGTAAGTATTTCCTTCTTCCAGGACACCATCCTCCAAAACTCCACTCATTACTCATTTACTAAATCAATCACTTATTCAATAAATGCTGATTTTTCACCTTCTGTGAGCCAGGCACTGTACTTGGTGCTGGGAAACATGATCAAGGAAGACTTGGTCCTTGCCCCCAGAAGCTTGTAGTCCAGTAAGAAGGTAGAATTTATGTGTATGGTGATGATCTACTTGTTGTCTATACTAAAGCGAATTCTTGGTGTTTGAAAGCCCCATATTCAGCCTTGAGAAAGCTTCCCAGACAAGTATTGTCAGGGTTGAGACACATTTAAAAAGTAGGAAGGGTGTTCCTGGCAGAGAAAACCTCTGAAGAGCTAAAGATAAGAACAAGCAAGGAACCTCAGATAATTCCATCTGGTTGTAGAGAAGAGATCCTAGGGATAGGACAGGAAAGAGAAGGGCTTCATCTTTGGAGAGCTCCTCCAGCTCTGCTCAGGTGGCAGCTGAGCTGGTGGGGACAACTCTCACAGGAGACCTCTAGATCTTGCCTCCACTTCCCTCCATGTAGGCAACACCCATCACAGAACATCCACCGCTGACTTACTTCACTACTCTCTGAGATACAGTGAATTTCAGTAAATGCAGAATTCTATTTGAATTCTTTGCTCTTTTCTCTGCAAGAGGGGGAATGGCCAGTTGAATGGATATAGACTCAGTGATGGTTAAAATTAAGGCAGTTCAGGGAGTTTGGGTCAGAAATTGAGGGAGATGAGGCAAATGGATTTGTTTTCCTGAATTTTGGGGTCAGAAGTAAACAGAAAGGCAGAAAGGTTAAGAGATTCGCTCAGAACTGGCTGTTTCCTGGAGGTCCTAATTCCCAGGCCTGTGCTCCAATCATTTGGTATCTGCTAACATCAGAAAACTGAAAAAGCTTAATTTGAATCAACACACAGAGAGCAGAAAGGGGATGACAGGCAATTAACTTGATTCCTCCTTTCCACCTAATTCTCTCCTCATCAGCTCAGGAAGGGAGTGAGTTTCCATGACTACCTCCTGACATGGAGACTCAGTTGAGGGTGATGCCAGTGTCAGCTTGGCTCTGTAGCATACACTGGTGGAGGCGGAACCAGAGAGTCTGTGCCAAGCACAAGACCTGGAACCTCTTGGTCCACCCACTCTCACCTCAATGAATCACCCAGCCTCCATCATTGTTGATCAAGTCCCTGCTTTCTGCAGAGTCTGCTGGGTATTAGGAGGAGAGGAGAGGTGGCCGTAGGCCTCTGAGAATGGATGTGCCCCAGAGAGGGAGCAGGCTGAACCCAAGGTGGCTCTGACCACCTTATGGGAAAAATGATGGACAGAAGTCGGTCTAGGGCTGGAGTGGTTGTGTGGACAAGCAACCTTGGGCAAGTATCCAACCTCTGTGAGCCTCAACTTCCTCATTAGTAAAATGGGAGACCTGAAGGCCTGGCCTTCCTCACTAAACCATTTAAGGATTAGATAACATCATGTGTTAGAAATGCTTTGTCAACTATAAAGCTCTGATAAATGTAAGAGATGATTATTATCATTGATATTATTATTTTCCCCCTAAGCAGCTGTTTTTTTTTTATCTTTTTGTTGTTGTTGTTGTTGTTGTTGTTGTTTATTGAGGTAACATTGGTTTATAATATTGTATAAATTTCAGGTGTACATCACTATACTTCTATTTCTGCATGGATTGCATGTTCTCATGTTTACCACCCAAAGACTAATTCCAATCCATCACCACACACATGTGCCTAATTATCCCTTTCGCCCTCCTCCCTCCCCCCTTCCTCTCTGGTAACCACCAATCCAATCTCTGTCTCTATGTGTTTTTTTGTTGTTGTTATTGTCTACTACTTAATGAGTGAGATCATACGGTATTTGACTTTCTCCCTCTGACTTATTTCACTTTTAAGCCGCTGTTTCTATCATACTTATCTGGTTCACAGACCACTTTTCTTTCTCTTTGCTGATTCTCTAATGGTCTAAAGTGTTTAGGCATAGTCTGTCAGCCTCCCACATGAAATCTGATTTTTCTCTTGTCTTTTATTCCATAAATGTGCCCAGGATACTTGGATGAATTTGTGGTCAAACTGTTAGGCAAATGGATAGCCTCTAATGGGGCACCCCTTCCCTGCTCACACAGCCAAGTGCCCAGATATGTAT